AGGTGGTATGGGATGTTATTGTTCAAAAAATAATTATGAAAAACCGATTAGAGTTTCAGATAGCCCTTATCTTTCTATAAGCGAATATGAAATATTTCAAATTCATAATAATCATAAGTGATGATTGTTTGTATTTTTAATAAAGAGTACTTAAAATCCAGATTTTAACTTACAACTGCAGACATGATGGATAAATTGGTTGTCCGACGCTGAAAGATTTGAATATGGTCTGTTGGAGATATTAAAGTATTCAGAATTTTTCAGTGTATATCTTTTTCGTAAGGAAAACATGACTTAAGTCAAATATAACGGTAACGACAAATGATAACTACAACGATAATATGTATACATAAACCATACTTTTAGCTTGAACAAGTTTATGCACCGAAGAATCCTGGATATTCTCGTCGCATTTGCGATGTTTTTTTTTCATGCATGTGAAAATAATAAGTCTTTTTAAATATTGAACATCTTAAATTTTTCCAAAGTCATAATAAAAAGGTCATATTATTGGATATCACACTTCTATTTGTAACTGAAGGAAACGTAGAATTAAATTCATGCAGATGAAAATGATTTATGTAGGTAAAAATAAAAGTATATTTATATGAATGTACAATGAAACTATAAACACGCGAAGCGCTAACGCTACGATATACAAAATCAGACATAATTACACGATTCTCATCCATCATAAAAATAAAAAATAATTTAAAGATAAATAATTAAAAAATAATATAAAGCAAATTTTAAAAAACAAATTCTCTAGAAACGACACTAATTTCAATTCCGTTTTTCCAAAATAACATACATATCCTCCAGACTTGATCACAATCCACGACCCATAATTTATCCAATTTTATTAATTTTTGTATGATTATTTTTTGTTTCTTCAAATTTTCTTTTGTTTCTTTACAATTATTATTTTTATTGTTACCAGAATCTTCATTCCTTTCAACCGAATTTTTCTTTGATAATCCAATTAAGTCATCCGCATTTATCCTCTTTGTATGATATAAAACTATTAAATCCTTTAAAACTTTATCTTTTATGAACATTGATGGTTCATTTGTTGACGAATATTTCAAATTATATTTTAATAATTTAGCAATTGATTTTTGAAATTGAGAGAATGAAATATCCCGTGGAATTTGTATGGGAATTTTGGAATGTGAAATTTGTATGGGAATTTTGGAATGTGAAATTTGTGTGGGAATTTTGGAATGTGAAATTGTGGTTTCGGCATGTAATAAATGAGGATGAATATGTACATTGAAATTAACGCATTGAATCAAACATGAAATTTTTTCATCAGGTGTTGGATTTGGATGTCTAAGATCACGAAGAGGATATGAGATACTATGGTGACGAGAACGAATTATAAGAGATTTATCAATATTATCAAATGTTGTGTTCGCTAAATCCTGTTTGTATAGTGAATTGGCGGGGATTACCACCGTAGTCAAAATTGATGCCGGAGTTGCTTGATCACCGCCATAATTTGTTCTAAAGTCATGGTTTGAAGATTCTTCAGTTGAATGTGAAGTAATGATGCTACTTTCACTAACATTAGATGTACGTCTTTTTGATCTCATAACGAAGAATCCGTTTGTTGATGTTGGTGAATTAGAAATCTTTGACCAAAATTTTTTCCAAAATTTGGTTTTTTTTACGGGTTTGGATGTTGGCCAAAATTGAGGTCCGGTTAAATCATAAATTTCTTGAGATAAAGAACTTGGAGTGGGTGACACAAGATTGTCGGTATAATGAAAGTCAGTCAAGTTAATTGTAGAAATAGATAAAGGTAAATTGGTAAGAGGTTTCTCAAAACCACCAGGAATAAATTTCTTGTCAAAAATAGAAAATTCACGAATTTTTTTGTACTCAGACATCTCACTATATCGCAAATTTATTCGTAATGATCTTTTGTAAAGAAAATAAAAAAAATGGAGAACGTTTCAAAGCACCAATGTGCACCAATGTCAAGTAGAGTTAAAATAAAATTAATAAAATGTTTTTAAAAGACAAATCTTTTTTGGCAAGATTTTGAAATCTAAAAAAAAAAAAAGGCTCAATTCAAAGATTCGTAGTATTTAATTTTTTCATTTGTCAAAGTCCTTTTGTCTAGTTCATCCATCATCGCTTTGTTATTCAAATGTTTTTCATGGGTTTTGTTAAACTTTTAGATAAGCTCATCGATCTATCAATGATCATTGTTTATATATCATTTCGAGAGCTGTATTTGTTATTTACATCATGACCACTATGCATTAAATTCATTGTTAACAGCCGAGGAGAATAGTTACAATAGTTATGATTATTCTGATAGAAATTTTGATCCTTTAGTGCTGTAGTGTGATTAAGTTTACACGATACTTTAGAATCTATCACGTGACTACTCTTTTGTCTGATATTCAAAAAAGAAAGATTAAAATGATAAGCTGGAAGGTTCTAGATCCATTATTTTTTACGAGAGGTTCTCAAAAAAAGAAAGATTAAAATGATAAGTTGGAAATTCTAGATCCAACATTTTTTTTTGAGGTTCCATAATTCATAATTTGATTTTTTTTAAGAAACGACACATGAATTTTGTAATTTTACATCAAAAGCGTGATTTTTAAACAAAAAGTAATTTCCATCAATAATAATGCAGCTTACACATGCTAACTAAGTTTCAAAGCATGATACTGCATTGTGTTTTCGATTGACTAAAAAAATATTTGTCTAAATATTAAATTTGCCTTTAAAAAAAAAAAAAAAGGCTGTGATCTGTGCGTAAAATACTTTTGGGATGTAATTAGCGATGGGAATTTCTAGTTATTAATTATGAATTGTTAATTATTGAAAAATTAAAATTTAATTAATAAGTTAACAATAATTTATAAGCAATTAATAAATAAATTATCCAATATGCATAGAGTATCTTTATACGTAGTCATCTTTATAGAAAAAGATTCAATCGATGGTCTTTTTTAAAATTTGCAGATTTTACGTACTACGTATATGGAAATTTCTATCACTGAAATATTTTTACAGTAACTATTACAGTCGACCCTCTATGTAATCACCTCCCATACAATCACATCATAATGTAATCACATTTTCATTTGGACCAAACTATGATTTAATTTATAACCAAATTTTTAAAAAAATTTACTATGTGCCCAACTGTGTGATTATATAGGAGGATGGCTGTATTGATTAATTTTTTTATCGATACAAAATCATTTTTATATTAGAGTGCATAAAAAATATATATTGAAAATTATGGTTTAATTCGCTGATTACACATTCTATCGATAGTTTCTATACATTTAATTATAATTGTTAGAAATTATTTTTTTATCATAATTATTTAACAATTCTTTGTTAACAATTAAAAAATTAAAAACTCCATCGCTAAATGCAATATTAAAAAATGATATTAAATGTTAATATTAACGGTATCTAAATTTTCCAGATCAAATTAACTACTGCATAATAAGAATAATCCAGGTAACTATTATTAACCCGGATGACTCGGATTAATTATTCTTGTTTCTATTAGGTAGTTAGTTAAATCTGCGAATATAGGCTAATATCATCTTCGGCTTTTAATATTTCATTTACTTTCAGGGTTGACATTAGACAATGTCAAAATAAATTTAATTGGACATTTGGACTTTTAGGCATTGGACAATGTCCAAAAAAATTATTTCATATCTGCTATTTATTTATTGTTATGTGATTGGAAGAATGCCGTCTAGCCAAAGGTGCCAGAAATAAATTCAATTAAAGGACTTTTAAGTCCACAGGATACATCGTGAGTAATTTGAACTGAAACGATGATATGCTCCCGGGAAAATTAACAAGTGAGATTGCGCCCAGTAACAGTAGAACGAGTAAGAAGCAGCATCAGCCGGCCTGCTCGAAGCAGGCCGACTGTTAAATAGAAAAATGGTGGTGGGAAGGTTAGGTCGAGAAAATGACAGTAATAATGCTTGGTTGTGTTGGTGCGAGGGAAAAGAGAAGAATGCTGATAGTGATTTATTTGTCGCTTCTTTATATATTGATGGTTTTTCTGTTATGTAGCTACATTCGCACGAAATTATTGCGATCTGATATCTCTTTCGATCCCCGACCTGCGTTCAGTAAATTCTTTTTTGAGGGAACTAATTCAAATTGTATTCTCCGTCACGTTATAAAAATTTTCGTAAATTTTAGTTAGGTGTGAAAGCATCATTTTTTCATAGGTTAGTGGCTTTATTTTTCAATAAAATTTTTTCGCTAAATTGTTAATAATGGTTACAATCATATGGTATGGTTCGAATGCATTATATTCAAGGGTTTGCTAATGTATAAAAGTAATTTAGTGTCATAAAAATGTTACAGAATAATGAGATGGTATTGATATATAGTAAAGGTGTGGTAAAGGTAGTTTAAAAAAAAAAACTAGTTTTGACTATTTGAGTAATAGTACAATTCATTTACAATAAGTCTTACTTCATTAATAATCTTTTCTATTTCTTTATCACATTCTAATCTCAATTTTTCTTCTATCCTATCTGTTTGACTCATTTTTTTAATAATTTGATGTATTGCTTTGCTAGTTATAGTCACTTGCATATCATTTTTTCCATCTTGATACACTTCATAAATCGATACTTTAATTTTACCATTTGAAAATTTATCCTTGCATTTAACAAAAGTACGCTTGGTCTTGATACGTGTAATTGTGAATAGATAATTAGAATTAAAGCGATTGTTTAATGTAAGAATTTTTGTGTCAGGATCATAGGTAGCATTTTTTATAGAATTGTAAAGTTCGGTAGGTAATATTGTTCTGGATGGTTCTTGTGAAAGAACTTTGAGGTGAAAATCCAATGCTGGTTTTGGACTAACAAAAGAGTAGTAAAGAAGTTTATTATTTTCAGCTTTAAGTTTACGAGGTATTAATTTACCATCTGATGTAATATCTGTAGAAACAAGAAAACGCTTCCGAGCTTTGATATCAATTAAATGAATAGATGCTTTTTGAATAACTTCTGAACTTTTCTGATATTCCAATTCAATCAGACGATTTTCAATAATCTTTGCTACTTCGAAGGAAATATGATTCATAAAAGTAGTTTTAGCATCTTTTTTATAACCGATCTCATATTTAAGGAAATCATAAAGAGGAATCAATTTTGAAAGATCATAACTTTCTCTAGTTGGTGGGTAAAAGAGTTGCTTGCCGATATTTACTCTAACTTTGAAGTCAAGAAATCGGTTATCTGGCTTAGTGGTTTGTTCTATTATTCGTTTGGCAATATGTTCCACTGATTTTCTATCTTTTTCAGGAGCAATGATATTTGTAGTCCGCCTAAAAAGCAAAATTTATTTAGTTTCTTTTTATTGGCTAAATGCAAATATGTGATTGAAAAGAATTAGTATGTACTTAATGTTAAGGTTTTCAAATAATGAAAACAGATCTCTGAAGAATGAAAATAATTTATCTATTTCATTCATCTCTTCCCCTTTATCTAAAACGAAATACATTTTGTTTATATTATTCCTATCAATAATGCCTTCATATTTTGAAAATAGTATAGTTTTGAGTCTGATCAATGGTGGTTGAAGTGCGATAACGGCTTCTCTTGGATGCTTATAAGGTGCGATACTGTTCCAGACACAATCATTGATCAAGTTACGAGCTATCTTTCTGGCCTCATTCGTGCCTTCCACTACTATATGGGTACTTTTCCTAATGAGTGTGCAATTGGCCTTGGAATTTTTTTCAATCTCATGAATTTTAGAATGATTTTTGCCTAGAATATGGCCAATGGAATTACGTGGAACTTGAATTATTTCCATGATATTACACTATAAAACAGTTAAATAAAGAAATTATAATGTTTGGGCTAATAATAGATCCTTATTCAGGTTGTTAATATGGTAATTCAAAAATCTTAAAGGACCGAGATTTTATGACTTTTTCTTCATTACGGTCATTTATATACAAGTTTACCTATTATTATAGACAAAAAAAGAAATATAGGCTAAGTAGATTATTTTTCCATACACAGCGATGTTAATAAGGAATTGTCAAGGTTAATAAATTATCAAGAGTTTGTCAATTAAGATACGTATAATGACACGCATACACAATTGTACCAAACCCGGGTTTTTTCGCATCAAAAAAGTCTATGTGTAACTTTGAGAATCCATTGGTATCAATTATGCATATAGGGAATTTTCTGAAATGCTGCGTCACGGCGCTGTGGTGTAACTATTTACCCAATTGTGTTAAACCCGAGTTTTTAGGTTGCAGATATTACTTATATCAAATAATGTTCCACGTCGAAAAAGACATTGGTATCAATTAGAATGTTCTGCGATGGAACAAATAACCATATTTCTTTGTGCTAATATACCTATCATGTATAATTAATGCATTATATTCATGAAGCCGGATGGATAACTCGAACGTCATCTCTAGGCGCATACGGACTCTGTTTGCCGTATTATTACTCATGTAGTAATGCAAATTACGAAGTGTATGATTTTACAGACAACTAGAATGGCAAATGTACAAAATCTGGATTATGATTGGATGATGGTTGGACATATATAAAATGTAATACTAATAAAAAATTCATGTCGGGATGGGGTCCCGTAGCCTAGTGGTCTAGGCGCCCCTCCCTCCACAGACAAGGTCGACGGTTCAATTCCAGCTGGA